AACAAATCAAAATACTGGTAACAGCAAAGCTCCTGCGATTCAGAGCCCCTCCCTACCAAAAGACTCTGGGCCTTGTCTTAGAATCGAATTCATAAGGGAGTTGGCTGTCGTCTGGAGACTTATTTTAATAATTAAAAAATCAACGGATGCCTGGGTGGCTCAGTCGGTTACTCATGATTTCGGCTCAGGTCATGATGTCAGGGTCATGAGATCGAGCCCCGAGTCAGGCTCTGCACTCAGCAGGGAGTCTGCTTGAAGATTCTCTCTCTCCCTCTCCCTCAGCTACTTGCCCCCACTCTATCTCCCTCTCTCAAAAAAAAAAAAAAAAAAAAATCAAGTCAGACTTTTTTCAAGAGAAAGCTCATCTGGTTTAGTTGATACATTTGGTAATAAGGACTGACTGTACCAGTGAGACTCTGATGGACATTTTCCTCCATATGAATTGAAATGAATACTATCTTAATTCTCCTAAGCCTGTCCAAGGCTTCTGGGTTAAAACAAGATGCCTCTAAGTGAAAGATTAGCAGGTATGAATAATCATTTGTTACACCTTGAAAACACTGCTTGGGGGTATTTTCCAGAAATCAGGAAGGTAAAGAACTCTAAGAAATATGTTTCTGGCAAAAAGGTATCTATTTCTTTACTTTTAACAAAACTGAGAACACAGCTGAGTTCTTAACTGAGAGATCATTAAAAACAGCTTTTGAGGGGCACCTGGGTGGCTCAGTCGTCTGTCTGCCTTCAGCTTGGGTCATGATCCCAGGGTCCTGGGATCAAGCCCCGCATCAGGCTCCCTGCTCAGCAGGAAGCCTGCTTCTCCCTCTACCAGTCCCTCTGCTTGTGTTCCCTTTCTCGCTATGTCTCTCTCTGTCAAACAAATAAATAAAATCTTTAAAAACAGCTTTTGATGTCAGACCACTATGTGTCCTGGACATATAACTCAGAGAGTGTTAAAAGAACTCACTGATACTCCTCTACCAGAAGCCTTCCTTAGCCATTCAGTTATTCATGTGAACAAGTTTCTCGGCACTTAGTGGAAATAGAATTAATGTTGAAATCTGTTACATTTTAGCAATAAATAATATTCAACCATGAATATATGAATCAGAAAAAAACACTCATTATTAAGTTCATAAAGCTTTTACAATTATAATATAGGGAAATATATTACTTTTTGACAATCCTGTAATAATTGTAATAACAATTTAGTCCAGAAGTGTTTTAACTCTTAAAACCTTGAGTCACAGGAAATTTTTTAAAATTACGATCTCAAATGGGTACATAGTTTTGATATGAAAGTGCATGAAAAGGTGATTAGTAAAAGCCCTCCAAGCATAAAAACACATTAGTATAAAATTCTTTGGGGAAGGTGAAATGGATACAAATCAAAGGAGGGGACAAGAATTGTATAAATCTTCCAACAGTGAAGGACGATGAGTGCATTTTAAAAAGGATGATGGGGGCACCTGGGTGGCTCAGTCGTCAAGCATCTGCCTTCGGCTCAGGTTATGGTCCCAGGGTCCTGGGATTGAGCCCTGCGTCGGGCTCCCTGCTCGGCGGGAGGCCTGCTTCTCCCTCTCCCAATCTCCCTGCTTGTGTTCCCTCTCCCACTGTGTCTCTCTCTGTCAAATAAATAAAATCTTAAAAAAAAAATAAAATAAAAAGGATGATGGTATTATCAAATTGCTACGGTGTTTAGATTCATTGAATTCCATTTTTAAAAGTGTTACTGCTGTTAAAATTCCTTGGAAACTAATTCCTTAGCAACTCTTCAAGTTAGCAATAAAAAACGTTAGCTGCCAACTTAAAAATATTCCAGGGGCTCATGGTTCTTCAAAATTCTTCCGGGGGTGGGTGGGAATGTGCGCCAGTTAAAAAAAAAAAAAAAAAAAAAAAAGGCTGAGGCCCCCTGCGTTACCCCTGCCCGCCTAAAGGGGGATCCCAAGGTTTCCCAGAGGGAGGAGCCTTCCGGGGAGTACATGAGCCGCGCGCTCCCACTGCCCTGGAAGAGCGTAACCTGGCCCTTCTCAAGGGGCCCCTCGAGCTACTCCAGCGCCACCTGGTTCCCCGGAGCATTAGTGACGCAGGGACGCCTCTCAAAGCCCGCTCTGGCCCGGGCCGAACTGCACGAGTCGACGAGCCGCGGGGTGCACGAACCGAAGCCGTACCCGGGTGCTGGGCGCCGAAGCCCGGGGCACACTCCGCGTTGCGGCGGCAACAGTCACAGTCGGCGCTCCAGTGGTAGCCGGCCGTGCAGGCGCAGCGCCGCGGGGCCGTCCGGTTGCCGGGCTCCACCGCCACCAGGGCCTTGCCTGCGGGAGACAGAGACACGGCTGCTCACGTTCCACCTCAAGCAACTCCCCAGCACGGGAGCAACGAGCAAAGCCCCGACACGTGAGCAAAGCCCCGACACGCGGACGCGGCTCGCAAACGCATCCTTCAGGACAGTAGGTTTCGAGAACTCCCCCAGTCCCCTCTTCCTGTGCTGGCACTAAAACATCCCAGTAGGGTTGGTACCCTCTTCAGTAATTAAGAGTCTTGTGGTTTTTTAAAAGTCAATTTTCATATTAGGAGGAGGATTAAGAACTGAGGAGTTTATGATCCTTGACTATTTTGGCTAATGCCAAAGAGACTTCACAGCTTCTTGGTTTTTAGTGAATTCAAATATGAGAAATATTCTGAACATGAATGCTAGATTGAACCTAAGAGAATAGGGTTCTGGAGACTGGGGATTCATCTTGGGATCCTGCGGGACCACAGGAGTATTCAGAGTTGTGGGAAACAGGGGTCACAGGTAATTAGAAAAGGGACCGCACTACAGAGGCTGAGCCTGATGACACGCTTGAAGTGAATCTCCCTAAATACTTAGGGCCACCCACGTGTTACTTGTCTCTTTTCTCACAACACATAGCAAAGTGCTGTCATTGTCCCAAAGCTCCTGCCCTTTCCAGTTTCGGTGGAATAGAGGTCATGCTGACACACACGGTCCATCTTCATTATTTGTTGACTCCTATTTGCAATTTCACCTACTCACTAACATTTTGGTGTAACCCCCAAATCAGTACTCCTGGCACTTCTGCAGAACTTCTTGGACACATGCAGAACAGTGGAAATTTTGAGCTACGGACAGGACATTCATGCTCTCAGTTGAGGTCAAACAAGGTCACCCTCCGCCTTCTTGTTACAGCTCTTAGACTGGAAGTGAGCGTCCTTTTTGTGGTCGACTAAGTGTTCCATTTGGGGCATTTCTGCGCTTTTTGTTAGCGATTCCACTGCTTACAATGGCCCACAATCATAGTGTTGAAGTGCTATCTGCTGTTTCCAGGCCCAAGAAGGCTGTGATGTGTCTCATGAGCAAATACATGCTAGATAAACTTTGTTCAGGTGTGAGTTACAGAGCTGTTCGTTCTAAGTTCAATGTTAATGAATCAAAATATTTACTAAGGTGTCTAAACAGAAACACACATAAAACAAGGTTATGTGTGGATCAGTTAACAAAAATGTTGTGACTAGAGACTCACAGGAACCTAATCCTGTATTTCCCCTAGGAGCAATGGCTTAGTATTTGCTAGTTCAGAACACTGACATTATTCTATGAATAACAAGAATCAATCTGCGCGCGCACACACACACGATGAAACACAGTAATACTATTTGAAACAGAACTTCTACCCCTATAGGACCCCCATCTCACTTGGATTGTCCCAATAACCCATGGACTTATACTCCTGAGTCCTTATAGGAGTTTGTTATGGACTGATGTTTGTGTCCTCTTAGAATTCATGTTGAAATCCTAACCCCCAGTGTGAGATGGTACTAGAAGGTGCAGCCTTTGGGAGGTGATCAGGCCATGAGGTTGGGATTCGTGCCTTTATAAAAGAAACAGAGGAGAGCCTGCTTCCTCCCTCTCCGTTCTTCACGATGTGGAGGCACAGCAAGAAAATAGTGTCTTGAAATCCTAAAGAGGGCCCTCACCATGAACCCAACCATGCTGGCACCCTGTCTCCCACTTCCAGCCTCCAGAACCGTGAGAAATAAATGTTTGTTGTTTAAGCCACTCGGTCTGTGCTATTCTGTTATAGGAGCCTGAATGGACTAGGACAGAGGTCCAGGGGAAAAATAAACAGGCAGACCAGAACCCTGTCTCCTTCCGCTGTCTCAAGTTACCGCCAGCAGGGAGGGTATGTTTCCTATTTCCATTCTTTTCAGACCAGAGCATGGCGAACCTGGAGAAATCTTCCTGTGTCCCTCCCGTGTCCACTCTCTGAGGCCCAGGTCATTTGTGCAGCACTGAGGCCAATCTGCATAAACATGTGCATAATGCACACAACAGATATGGACAAGGGTCACTCCCTTGGAAAATTCTAGTTCCACCACCCCACTCAGTTATGAGTGAATGAAGCCTGTGTGGTAATGAACAATTATGACATATTTTTAAATATCTTAATGTACCAGGTTTGGGGCTTTAATCGACTTTGGCAGTAGACAGAATGAATCTTTATTTCCAAGGGGCAGCAGTGAGTCAAAGTCATTACTAAGCAGTGGGAAAGAAAAAAGACTTGATCAGATGCTTCTGCTCAGTGGAGTTTCCATGTTACCTTCTGCGGCCATAATCTGCCAGCTATCTCTTGCCCACTAGAAAATTATGATGTTTAAAAAAAAAATATTTAACTCCTAGTTCTGTCCACTGCAGAGAACCTATGAACAAGGATCAGTCCGGTAGCAACGAACCTCCCTAGCACCCAGACTGAGGTTGCTAAATAAGATGTTCCACTGGAAGCAATCAGGAATTCTTAAAGAAATGGCTGATTCGAGGTTTGAGGCAGGGAATGTCCAAGATGAACCTGGAAGCAAGGAGAGCTCTTAAGGTCACCTGGGGTCATATCAAAGACTGTGGCGGGGGGGGCGGTAACCTAGAAGAGGTGAGACAATCTGAGGACCCATATACCTAGGAACTGTAATAGATTAAAACACCTCAAATATGTCTGAGTGGCTGAGTTTATCATATTCATATAAATCCTTTGGAGAAAGCATGGAAATCAAGTCATGATTTTGAAAAGTGGTAAATAAAGCTACAAGCATTCATTCTGCCTCTCCCGTATATACTGTACTTCAGGGTAAGGGATAGTTGCCGAGGGAAGCTTCTCTTCATAAAGCATTCCAGCCATTCGTGAAGAAGGAATGATAGAAGGTCACCTTTCTACAGCTCCTCATGAAAGTGGATCTAGGCCATGAGGGTCAACAGCAGTTCATATCACAAGAAGAGAGATAAACAGCTTCTATACGACCCCTGACATAATAACATTATGCCAACTCTGGTTTTGCAAAAACAAAAAACAACAAACCAGCTTCTGATCAGCCTTCTAGATCCAACAACCACTTATAGGAAATATAGGAGACAGAAAAATATGTTAAATGACACCAAGGGAATGCAACCAGCAGAAATCAGACTGTGACCCACAGGATTCCTGTAATCCACAGGATTAACAACATGGTTTCTCCAACAGAGAGATTAAATGGAAAAAGAAAAAAAAGAGAGAGGGAAAGGAACCTCTAGGTTAAGGTACATATTTTGATTCTGATTCCTACAATTAAACTACAATTTGGGAAAAATTTTTTGAGTCCAAAAAAAAAAAAACAAAAAACTGTAGCAGTCTAAGATCAAACTGTAGAGTTAGTAAGACACTTATGGTTCAGGAGAAAGACTTGAGAGTAAGATCTGCTTTGAATCCTGCTTCACATTTGTTAACCTTGGAAAAGTCACCCAACCTCTCCTGGTCTCCGTTTCTTCCTCTTCTAAAATGGGATGACTGTGGCTAACTGGCAGGATTTCTGTGGAAACTGAATAACACAACATACACAGAAACATTGTGGCAAGATTTTGTCAACTGTAACATGTGTGTTCTATGATTAAACTGAGACACAATTGTATTCCAGGACGAAAGTTCTAAATGAAGAATGTTAACACAATCCTTCTGGGATCTGAAGCACTTACCTCTGGGGGTCTGATGTCGAAAACTTCTTCCTATGCCCCTCCAAAAGAGATAGCACTACTGTATCTAAAAATAGCACTTACCCCACTCCCCACTGGCATGACTGACTTACCTGTGTCACAAACTTTATGCAGTAAGCATTTATCTTCTTCATTCCAGGTGTCTAAGTATTCATCTGGGCCACAGGGCAAGCATACACTTTCCGAGGTAGTAGTGCATTTAGAAGACATGTACTTTCCTTCAATTAGAAGAAAAAAAAATGCAGCAATGAAAAATAACCCCCAAAATAACAACAGAACAACAAAAATACAGCAATCTACTGGGCCATTTAAATGACTGTGACCCCAGGAAGTCCCCTCACACAGTATGATACATGGGATGAGGCCATATATCAGTGATGGGCTCCTCAGGTCTCCCAGCTGGCTAAAATAACCTCTCCTAGGGGCGCCTGGGGGGCTCAGTGGGTTAAGCGTCTGCCTGCGGCTCAAGTCATGATCCCAGGGTTCTGGGATCGAGCCCCATGTTGGGCTCTCTGCTCAGCGGGGAGCCTGCTTCTCCTTCTTCCTCTGCCCCTCCCCCTGCTTGTGCGCTCTTGGTCAAATAAATACATAAATTTTTTTTTTTAATTAAAATAACCTCTCCTAGACTTGCTCCGTCTATGGTCAAGGCCACCTTTTAGTTCATCTCAGTAAAAGATCATCCTTCCCACCCCACACCTCCGCTGACCAAGGAAAAGGATGATGGTTTTCAAACGTGCCTAAAAAACTTGAGGGGCAAGAATTTCATTTTACCCTTTCCCTCCCATCTTCAATATCCCCTCTACTTCAATTTGGAGTGTTAACTTATTTTGTCCTACATCTACTGTGGGCCCTCGGTTAACAGAAGGACCAGAGTACCACATGCACACGCGCGCACACGCACACCTGCACGCTCACAAAAATCACTGGTCTTGGTTCTGCACATCTGAGAAATATTTATAGCTTGAATATCTAAAGGATCTTGATGTAATGTAACCACCGTTTCTTGAACAATGAGTGAGTGAGGAACCTGCGGACATTCACTGAGGCTGTAGAAATCCTCAGCCACATTCTGGCAGTGCAGGTATGGGGAGGAGGTAACCAGTCCACCTTCTGCCTCTCAACAGGTATGTGAGGAGAAGGTATAATAGGGTTTAGGCAATTTGCAGCAGCAAAAACTCCAGTATGGTTATTCCCCCCAGAATTTTTTCTGTAAAATACTTTTAAATTGCATTTTATATGTCAAAAGTTTGAATTGCAAAGTGCTAAAATATGGTTTTCGTTTTTTTTTTTTTTTTTAAACCTTGCTTTCTCAAGAAATAGTGTTTTGGAAAACTGTATTCCAGCATACATTAAGTACTAGTTTCTGCAACTGCTTTTAAGTGATTTTTATCTATTGAAAGGTTTTTATCTTCAGGGTGACACACATTACTACCTGCCACTACCATAGAAAGTCTACCCAATTTCTTTTTTTTTAATCTGGAAGGATTGAAATTATTCCTTGGATTAAAAAAATAAACGAGAGCCCCACCCACTTTTGAGGAACAAGGAAAGGTGGCTCAGAAATACAAACCTGGTTCACATTTATTACAGCATCGTCCGAAATGCTCATAATGCCTCTCATGGGTACACGGAGGGGTGATCTGAAAAGTCACCTGAAGAGAAAATTGACATCAGGTGGAGATTTTGCACAAGTCCCTTCTGGATAAAATAAAAAGTGAATCACTGAATTCCATTTCTGAAAAGCATAAGAAAATACCATAAACAGTCCTGAAACTGCTCTGTGTGATATTACCTCCCCCCAAAATGTCACTTTCGTACACTAGCCCATTCCCCACTAAGAATGTATAAAGCCAACTGATACTGGCTTAAAAATCCATTAAAGCATTTAAAAATATTCTGGTTATGGGGCACCTGGGTGGCTCAGTCAGTTAAGTGTCTGACTCTTGGTTTCGGCTCAGGTCATGGTCTCAGGGCAAACTGCTCTGCGCTCAGTGGGGAGTCGGCTTGAGGATTCTCTCCCTCTCCCTCTGCCCCTGCCCCTGCTCATGCTTTCCCTCTCTTTTCCTCTCTCTCTAAAATAAATAAATAAGTCTTTAAAAAAATATTCTCGTTATGCTCATGGTAATATGATGGATTATGGTCACATGGTGGACAAATGCTCATCAACTTGGTCACAAAATTGTAGAACACAAGGAGGACCCTTAATATATGTATTATATACCAGGGATGTCAAATTTGGTCTTACACACTTTCTCTGATTTTTAAAAAGGTGTTTAATACTGCTTACTTTTGAAAATTTAAGCATGCATAGGATTTTTTAAAGTGGGACAGCAAGATGTCATAGAAACGCTGTGAGGTTGGAGCTCAGAGTCCTGGCTGAGGGAGTCCTCACCGCCTGCTGGCTGAGGGGAACCCCCGCCCCCGACAAGCTGCTTAAGCTTTCTGAGCCTCTGTTTCATTTCTGTATGATTCTAGTACAAATATAATTTCCAAATCTTCCCGTCTACATAAAACAAAACAAAACAAAAAGCCAAGTCCCCTGCAGTCACTCAGAGATTCTTATCACTGTGCCACAGAAAAGCTCTTCTCTGCATCAGCTCTCTCAGATGAGAGAAACAACAACAGTCCTGTTGACAGGCGGTCACGTTGGACACTGAGCACTGCGACTCGCCGACCAGCTGGGCCTGGCTGAACAGACATCAAATGCTGCAGACCAATGATCAAGTTCCCTGCTGGGTCTCAGGGATCCAGAGTTATAAACCTTGCCTTCAAGGGGCTTACACACACCAGGGGGTTTAATACCCTCCCCGCCCCCCCCCGCCCCCACGCAGGGGCAGATGGGCCCCTACCTCAGCTGGAGAAGGTCAGGGAGTGTGTCCTAAGGGATGTGACAAGTGAGCTCAGTCTGCAGGATAAAGAGAAATCAGCCAGAAGAGGGAAAAGGAACTGGGCAGGGGGAAGGTAGGGGAGGGGCAGGGAAGACTACTTAAGACCGTGTGAACAGTTCAAACAGAGGCATTGGGGCCTGCAATGGCACGTGGGATGGGGGCAATGAAGGCCCATCAGCAGAGTGCTGGGAGACAACACAGAGCTCACAGAGGGCTTCACTGGCATACTGGATTGAAGGTGTAGAAATAATAGAGCTTAGAAGAAGCCACGCATCCTAAAATACCTCAGTTACAGGAGGAAATTTTATTAAGAGAGCACCACACCCCCCAAACCCTAGGCTAGTTGAGTGGGGTGTGAGGGACACAGCCAACATGGACCTCTCTGACCCCACTCTGGCCAGGCAAAAGGCTTACAGGGTGGGGGTGGGGGGG